AAACAGACATTTCTCCAAAGAAGACATACAGATGGCTAAAAAACACATGAAAAGATGCTCAACATCACTCATTATCAGATAAATGCAAATCAAAACCACAATGAGGTACCATTACGCGAGTCAGGATGGCTGCTATCCAAAAGTCTACAGGCAATAAATGCTGGAGAGGGTGTGAAGAAAAGGGAATCCTCTTACACTGTTCGTGGGAATGCAAACTAGTACAGCCGCTATGGAGAACAGTGTGGAGATTTCTTAAAAAACTGGAAATAGAACTGCCATATGACCCAGCAATCCCACTTCTGGGCATACACACCGAGGAAACCAGATCTGAAAGAGACACATGCACCCCAATGCTTATCACAGCACTGTTTATAATAGCCAGGACATGGAAGCAACCTAAATGCCCACCAGCAGACGAATGGATAAGGAAGCTGTACATATACACCATGGAATATTACTCAGCCATTAAAAAGAATTCATTTGAATCAGTTCTAATGAGATGGATGAAACTGGAGCCCATTATACAGAGTGAGGTAAGTCAGAAAGATAAAGACCATTACAGTATACTAACACATATATATGGAATTTAGAAAGATGGTAATGATAACCCTATATGCAAAACAGAAAAAGAGACACAGATGTATAGAACAGACTTTTGGATTCTGGGAGAAGGTGAGGGTGGGATGTTTCGAGAGAACAGCATTGAAACATGTATATTATCTATGGTGAAACAGATCACCAGCCCAGGTTGGATGCATGAGACAAGTGCTCGGGCCTGGTGCACTGGGAAGACCCAGAGGGATCGGGTGGAGAGGGAGGTGGGAGGGGGGATCGGGATGGGGAACACATGTAAATCCATGGCTGATTCATGTCAGTGTATGACAAAACCCACTACAATATTGTAAAGTAATTATCCTCCAACTAATAAAAATAAATGAGAAAAAAAAACTAAAAGAAACCATGTAGAAACAAAATTAAAAGACAAGTGAAAAAATGGAGAACAATGTTTATATCATAATCAATCAAGGTTTCCCTGGTGGCTCAGATGGTAAAGAATCTGCTTACAATGCAGCAGACCCAGGTTCAATCCCTGAGTCAGGAAGATCCCCTGGAGAAGGGATTGGCAACCCACTCCAGTATTCTTACCTGGAGACTTCCATGGACAGAGGAGCCTGACAGGCTATAGCCCATGGGCTTGCAAAGAGTCAGACACAACTGAGTGACTAACACTTTCTTTTAACTTCAATCAACCAAATATTAACATCATTTTCACATAAAGGCTATGATAAATCAATAAGGACGTAATTATCACCACCACCAAAAAAAGGAAAAGATGAATAGGAACAGGGAGTTCACCAAAGGAGGAATACAAATGGCAAATATGTAAGAACACTAGAAATGTGCAAGAACACTAGAAATCAAAGAAATGCAGCTGTCTTGCACTAAAAGCTTTTAGTTTTAAAATGTACATCTCACTAACAAGCTATACATTTGGGTGTGTATTTAGCCTTTTGGAAGCAGTCCGGATTCAAGTCCCAGTTCTGCTACATACTAACTGAGGGATACTGGATAAATTATTTAGCTTCTATAAACCTCAGTACTCTCATTTGTAAAACAAAGATACCAACATTCCCTACATCAAAGTAATGTGAGGAGTAAATGAAATTGTACATATAAATTACCTAGTACATGGTAAGAATTTAATAAATGTTTGCTATTTTATTAACACACGCATGCATGCTGATTCACTTCAGTCATGTTCAATTCTTTGCAATCCTATGGACTGCAGCCTGCCAGTCTCCTCTGTCCATATGATTCTCTAGGCAAGAATACTGCAGTGCGTTGCCATGACCTCCTCCAGGGGATTTTCCCAACCCAGGGATCGAATGAACCTGTGTCTCTTAAGTCTCCTGCATTGGCAGGTGGGTTCTTTACCACTAGCACCATCTGGGAAGCCCATTTTATTAGTACTTATCCTCACATATTGGGTAATAATGAAAGCATTGGGCTATTAAGAAGCTTGTATCATCTTCCATCTTCCAGCTTTTTGAGTTATTCCAAGATTATATATATACACACACACAAACACAATAAATACATAATGGACAATCGTTATTAATGACTGAAGTACTGGTGTCAAAATAATGGGAATAGTTAAGAATTATTTGGGTCTTTCTTGATTTTTAAAAAGTCACTCTAAAAGAAAACACAATTTGTGGCTCCATTATTTTTCTGCTAGCAGAAACATTTTATGTGTGCTTTAAATCAAGAGGCTAAAATCAGGTGTAAAAGACACACACACACACACACACACACACACACACACACACACATATAACTTAAATTCAGGAAATTTTTTAATAAAAGATACTTTTAAGTCACTAATTATTTTTATCACTTTAGAACTTATATTTTAAATTTGATAATATTTAAAAGGTTAATTAAGGATGAACATCTTAGAATATAATGCTCAGTGAAATAAGTCAGACAAAGACAAATATTAATATCACTTACATGTGGAATCTAAAAAAAATAATACAAATGTATCTATATATTAAAGCAGAAACATACAGGCATAGAAGACAAACTTGCAGTTACCAAAGGGGAAGGGGGAACAAATGAGGAATATGGAATTAACAGATATAAACTATTAAACATAAAATAGATAAGCAACAAGGATTTATAACACAGGGGAATATACACCTAATATCTTGTAAGAACCTAAAATGGAATTAATCAGCAAAAAACCCAAATCACTATGCTATATACCTGAAACTAACAAAGTATTGTAAGCCAACTATGCTTTAATGTTTTTAAGTTTAATTAGTAACTTCTTTCCTTTTGGCAGCCAGTAAAATGCAAATAGTAATAAATTAGATATATTTAAAAATATTTATATAACATATGCTTATAGAGTTCTGTATTAAAGTGATCTAAATAAAAAAATAAAATTATTTGGTCAAGTTATTTTGTTAATAGGCTTAAGATGCTGATAATGATTTCTAGGTAAATATCTTACAAATATACTTCTGAACATAAAAACTCTCAGTATATTATGTAATTGTAGCAACAAAAGTCACCTTAAACTCCCCAATCACAGATAGGGAGTCTTTTGAATTTACATTGGTAGTCACTCCCTTATGGAATAGAGCAACAGTGGCAGCCATAAATAAAAGGAAAACAATGGAGGAGAAATATGAAAGAGATAGAAATCATTGCACTCATGTATATTTAAAGTAACCTTTACAAATCAAACAATATTCTTCAGTCCTAAAATATCACAGGAAATAAAGGGAGAGATTCAAATGTGAATGGAAGAATTGGGGGGCACAGAGGAAGGAGAAGACTGATTAAGGCTGATGAACAAGGAAACGAGAGAAAGAAACTGAGTTAAAGAAAGGCAGATAGCACACTACAAACAGGACATGACTCACAAGAAAGGAAATAAAAACAGAGATGAGCTAATGGACATACGCACTCCATGGAAAAAATGTCCATGGGAATAAAATATCCAAAAAAAAACACCATAACTCAGAAACACTCTTTAAGGAAGGAATATACTTCTCGTCTAACCTTTCTTCAATGAAGCTGTTAAAGATGATCGGAAGAGTTGTGGTTTTTCATCTTTAGGCTTACACAGAGCCATGAACATCTTTTACTGGTCTCCACAGGCTGAAAACATTAACCTAATGGTTGATTCTGGCCCAAAGGCTAGAAGTTGTCCACTCACACACTTCACAACAAAAACTATTCAATCTTCTGTTGCATCTCCTAAAAAAAAGAATGCTATAAATAATAAATAATACATCCTTTGAAATTTTTTGACATTTCACATATAGAAAAACCATGAGCCAATTTCTCCCATGTACTGGCTGAGGTATTCCAAAACTGTAACAGACATATTTTTGTTTAAATAAATTAGTCTTGCAACTGTAATTTTAACTTGAAATTGACAAAATCTCTTTATTTCTTGCATATGAAAACCTTATATTTTAATTATAATAGAGCGTGAATCCTTTTATAACCTGGATTTTTAAAAGGTATTACCCATTTGGGTAATGAAAAGAGGATGTTAATGTACTAGCTTCCTTGAGGAGCCTTGTGGGCTACAGCCCATGGGGTTGCAAAGAGTTGGACACAACTGAGCTACTAACACTTTTCCTTGAAAATATTTTAAACATTTTCATACAATACTATAAAACTCACCTTTTCCTACTCTTAGCCTAGTCGTAGTTTCTTTCATTTATAAAACAACCATATTCAAGTCTTACTGTGGCGTAGTAACTTTTTTTTGCGTGCATGGTCAGTCACTCAGTCATGTCTGACTCTTTGTGACCCAACTGACCGTAGCCCACCAGTCTCCTCTGTCCATGGGATTTTTCAGGCAAGAATATTAGAGTGGGTTGCCATTTCCTCCTCCAGAGGATCTTCCCCACCCAGGGATTGAACCCACATCTCCTGTGTCTCCTGCATTGGCAGGTGGATTCTTTATCATTGAGCCACGTGGGAAGCCCAGCAACATTTTGAGTTCCATTCAACTTCTTCCCATTAAATAAAGATATCAACTATACAACCCTCTGATTATAAATAAAATCCAAGATATTGTTTGACAATGAGATGTTTATTAAACTCGATACATTTACTATATAAGAATTCTGTGGAATAAACTGGGGTATCAAACAGGATCTAGGTCTCTGCATTATAAAGTCTGTCCCCAGAAGATATTCTCTCACTATATCCTGCAGCTGAAATCATACAGATAACCAAAACACAGCAACATCCTTTCCTGGTAAGACAAGTTCAGCTGCCTTGCCCATATTATTACAATCCTCTTAGAAAAATGCGAAGTCCCGATTCCCATCTCTACACATTGTTATCTCCTGGGCAGGTAAGCTGGATGAAGCACCTGGGCCAGGCCTTCATCTGTGCTTGGCATGAGGTCCACACAGGGTCAACCTTTGGAAGGCCATTTTCCCCTCAACCAGACAATTCTACTTCAACTATTCTGTGACTCCTTGGAGGGGTGAAACTTCTGGGGAAATGAAAGAGAGAAAGAGAGAGAAAAGATCTGAATATCGAAAGGAATATACAAATGATCAAATTCAGCTGCACCAATGTCAAGGGGAAGGATAAAAAGTTAGAAAACAAGCAATTTTGCAAAATGCTTTTTGGTATGACAAAACCCGACCAGAGTGTCACTGTTCTGACATATTTGTGAGGGCCACCCATTCTCTTACCAGGCACAGGAGTCTCCACCATGAGGTGTTTGTGGTTGGTAAACAGTTCAGAGGAGTCTTGCTCTATTGATCTTTCCTCTAGGTCTGATTCTGGGATTGTAGCACAGCCACCTAGTTGAAAAATACAAATAATATTTTAAAGAACAGAAAAATCAATCTTTCCAGACATCAACAACAGCTTAAGAACGTACCAGTCGTGAAGATAATAAACGATGAGACAACAATCTTCAGGAGCTGAGCAAAAACATAATAACAATCTTGAATGTATTTCTTTTGGAGAAAATGCTGGAAATGAGTTATTGCCCTCAAAGACACACCGATGATCACTCAGCAACAACAGCAGTGGTGTTGTCTTCAAATTTATCCTTTTAAAATTCAGAATGGACAAAATCTATGGTATATGTGATACCCATACTATAATGGTAATTATATTAATAGTATGAAATTCCCTTTGGGATCAGAGCACCAGAAACTATAAAAGAAACAAACCACATCAACCATGAGGGAAAGAAATCTTCCTTGAACAGAGAGAATGGATGCTAGTGTTCTGAGACGGTGACCATGGTGGTAATTCTCTGGTGTTTAATTCTATTCCTGAATCCCAACACCTTATAGCACAGACACAAACACTTAATTATTCAACAGCAAAACCATGAATTGCATTTAGAAGCTTTCAATTCCAAGTCAATTCCAAGGTGACCTGAGGATGAGCTGGCACGACTGCACTTTTAAAATATTGAGTATAAGTCATTTGACTTTATCCACCAAAATCTTGTATGGAAAACTCATGTGAGAACTTCCTGACTACATCTGCAACTTGATTTGACTAATTTGCCATCACTTTTCTGGAAATGTACTAACATGCTGTATACTGTACATGTTTTTTCCCAAAGCCATTCTTCTTGTAAATGAAGTGTGATTTTTATTTCTTTTTCTGAGGCTTCTCATACACTGAGTCCAAAGCCTCCACATTCAAGTTTTGCTTTATGCATGAGGGGGTTTATAAAGCGAGGGTACCAGCAGCACTGATGTGTAAACCACATCATTCAAGTGAGAGGGAAGTGGCCAGATCCCAGGTCTGAAGGAAAATACACCTTATCCCTCTGTATCAGCTCTGAAAAAGAAATCGATGTTGAGGGAAACTTGAGAGACAAGGATTTCCACACTCATAAAATAAGAATTAGAGGTCGCCTCAGAGGTTCCCCAAACAGGAAATGTTAGAATTATCCATCAATGCAATGGAACTCACCCAGCTATATCTGAAAATAGCTAGGGCCCTATCCAGAAGGAGAACCAGGTTTATTTTTAATCTCTTTCCAAAACTTATAGATCATAGTGACAATAACTATCATTACTACACACTTTCTCAGTGATGATAACTCTGCCCATATTATCTTGTTTAGTTCCTACAAACCACGCCATGAAACAGATAATATTATTCTCCTTTTACAGATATGAAAATGGAGGTCTCATGAGATCAGTACCTCATTTCCTGGAAATGTTTTAACATGTTGTACAGTGTACTTATTTTTCTTCCCAAAGCTATTCTTATTAAGTCTTTGCCAAGGTCACACAGCTCCTAAGGAGTAAGACAGAGCTCACACCCAAGCCTGACAACTCCCAAAGCCTGTGTTTAAGTATTAATATATGGCTCCCAGCATCAGTCAGAGATCCCTGGTGGGCAGGTCTTGGGTGGCAGCATGTTCTCTCTCACCTGCTGGTCTACCAGGTGTGGCTGTCGGAGCACTGCTTAGGGTACTGTGAGGACAGGGACAGGCTCAGAGCCACTGTGGGACTCTGAGAAGCCCAACAGATAGCACCCTTCTTCTCGTGGGCCCTCATCTAACTGAGAAAAAAGGAACAGGGTATTTGGAGGTGGGGAAGGGGCACCTCTGTAAGGTTAATGACAGGAAGAACAGAGGGAAGGGAGTGGTGGTGGTGATTTAGTCACTAAGCATGTCCAACTCTTGCGACCCCTTGGACTATAGCTTGCCAGGCTCCTCTGTCCCTGGGATTTTCCAGGCAAGAATACTGGAGTGGGTTGCCATCTCCTTCTCCAAAAAAGAAGGGAGTGCTCCCTGCAAAACAGAACACCAACCCCAAGAAAATAGGCCAAAGAAAGGCTTTCTAGACTCATAAATCAGATTAAGTCATTTCTCCATCCCCAAGGCAGAGGGAAGAAGCAGGATGAGGACAGGAACGTTGTACTGATGCAGCTACCTTTGCATGCAAGAAAACTTTGAGAGTGGAGAAGAAGTGTCTCCTGCCAAGAGATGGGAGAGAGTGCAGTGGTGCTGCCATGTGTGCAGAGGCAAGTCTCCACTGATTAATCAGTGTCTACCATTTACTCCAGCCGACTCAATACTGGAGCAAGTGAGAAGGCACAACGGAGAAGTCAGTTGCTTTAAACCATCCTGTAGATGCTACATTACGTGAATTACAACATATGTAATCTCTTGTCCTTAGCACAAAAGTTTTGCCTTGTCCAGAGTACAGAGAGATGACGAATCTTTCAAATCCCACTGCAGGGCTGACCAGTCGCATGCCCTAGAAATGCCACCCTCTTTTCTTCAGATATCTCCGTGTGGCCAGACTGACCAACTATGTGCCTGGTCAAGCATGGAAGGAACAGTAGGATGGGAGCTCTGGCATTCTGACCAACGGGAACAGGGGGAAGGGAAGGAGCCCGGTGGAGAATCCCCCTACTGCTTCTTCCAGGGTTGACTCTGAATTATTATTCCTTTTTTGCCAACCTCCAGAAAAATTCTGTGTGCTGAGTGCTCTCTTCCTGGCTCTTTGAGAAAAGTGGTCAGGCAGGCAGGATGCATCACAAAGTGGTGCACATAGTTCCTTGACCCACTTCCCTTTCTCCTCATCCTCCCTTCCCTGAATTGGCCAAATAAAATGCTACTTTTTCTGTCTCAGGTTTGTTTTCTTGCAAAAATCACTGGCATGGGAAGTAGTATTAAAAAGCAGGACTTCAAGATGAAAATTTGAAGTTAGATCACCCATCTATCTCTATGAAATAGGGGCTCCATGGCTGGGGGTAAACAGATGGAATACCAAGTAGTTTGCCAGTCTGTGGCCTAATCAAAGGCTCAAAGAAAGCTACTCTTCATACAGCATCCTAATTTGGGTTATGCAATTGCTTAAGCTTTCATCCATGGTTAACTGGGATGAGGTACATTTAGAGGTCAAGATTGGGAGATCAAGTAGCTGTGGCATGGCAACATTTATAAGGGTTATAGAGTAGGGTGGCTGCTTCTGATAACTAGATATCCTGCAAAAAGAAAATGGCAAGTTTAGTTCAGTTAGCAGGCAGCAGAAGGCAGATCCAGCAAGTCAGAAGGCCTTACTGGTTTAAGCCAGATCACCAGGCCAGCAGCACCAGATATGCTGGGGTGCTTATTATAAATGCAACCTCAGGCCCCATCCACACTACTGAATTAGAATCTGCTAAGAAGGGCAGATGGGTATATCTGATGAGATTTTTGTTAGGAAAAAATATTTGTTAAAAATTCCAGAGTAGCCAGTAAAAGGAAAGAAATAAATATAAAATCTCCAAACTAACAGAGGCCTTCTGAAGCCCATCTTGGAAGTGGAGTCTGGGTTCCACTGATGTTAGATAAAGGATCCTAGGCTTAGACGCCTAGGAGAAGGGGAGAAGGGGAGAAGGGGAAGAAAAAACACAGCCGAATGAAATTATCCAAACACACATTGTATGTGTGTGTCACAGAGGACCTAGGGGCAAAAGCAAGGGAAAGCCAGGGACTTCCTGATCTGGAAAGCACAGTGCTGTGGACTCACTGTGTGCTGGGCACTTGGCCGCGAATTTTCAATGCATTAGCTCACTCAGCCCTCAAACAACTCTGTAACGAAGGGACCCATGTGGCCACTTCTGAAGTTGACTACTTATTTACTCATGCTACTTGATCTGCTGAGTTCTATTTGAGAGACTTGATTCTAACCCAGATGAATCCTGGTGACCCAGCTTACCTGCCTCACTATCTGGTACTCAGGTAGCCTGAACAGGAGGTTTGCTGAATAGCACATATTTTTAGGCTGTGGGCCATCTGGTCTGTGGTCTCAGTTTTGCCACCGTAGTGCAAAAGCATCCAAGGACAAAATGAAAACATGAATGAGCATCAGCTATGTTCCAATAAAACTTCATTGATTAAAGCAGGCAATGGGTCAGATCTGGCCCATTAGCTGTAAGTAGTTTGCCAACCCCTGGCCTAACTCAAGCTACTCTTCATATAGCATCTTAATTCTAAATGTTCCTAGAGGCATTTAACAGAGTCAGATCATCTGACAGTATTGCCATAACAATAGTAACAAGGAGGAGGAGGAGTAATAGTAGCAGTTCTTTAAAAGAATATTGCTAGCCCTACTGTTAAAAATGCTCTTTTTGTTTGGGCACTGATAAGTTTACCTTTAACAAACTTTAATTTTTAGAACAGTTTTAAATGTATAGAAAAAAATTGGCAAATAATACAAATAATTCCTGTATATTCTCTACATAGTTTGTCCTGTTGTTTACATCTTGCATCAATATGGTACATTTGTTATGATCAATGAACCAATATGGGTACCTTTAGTTAAAATCTATGGTCCATTCAGATTTCCTTAGTTTTTACTTAACATCCTTTTCTGTCTTGGGATCGCATCTAGAAAACCCCATGGCGTTAGTTGTCCTCTCTCCTTTGACTCTTGGTGGTGACAGCTTCCCAAATTTTCCTTACTTTTGATGGCCTTGAAGTTTTGACAAGTATTTGGTCAGGTATATTGCAGAATGCTCTTCTATTGGAAACTGTTTATAATGTTTTTCTCATGATTAGATTGGGGAGAAAAAAAGATCGTTTCCTTTCCTAAATTCTTAGAGTTCCCGATTTTGGGACTGTTGTCAGTTGTTCATCTTTTCCTCTATCAAAACATCAGGTGAGCAGTTGAATGGTGGGGACAGTGAAGGGGATAGGTGGCCAACAGCGAGTCTTGACCTAGACTGTAAAGTTCTCAGGAGTGGGGCAGGCTGGGGCTAGCTGTCAGACCCAGGCAGGTTACCAGTTGCCCCATTTGTAAAGAGAGGGTCTTAATTAGGCCTTTTGTGTGGA